CTGGATTGAGTACCGGCTACTCTACTTCTGAATCAACTCAGCTATGGCCCGGGAAAGCAGTAGAAGATGGCCTAATTGCTTGGGCCCCTGCACCTGCGTGGGAGACTCAGAAGAAGCTCCTGGCTCTTGGCTTTGGATCGGCTCAGCTGCAGCCGTTGTGGCCATTTGGGGAGTGAACCAGTGGACAGAAGACCTCTCTCTCTCTCTCTCTGCCTCTGCCTTTCAAATAAATAGATCTTAAAAAAAAGAAAAAAGAAAAAAGAAACATGAAGGGGTTGTATCTACAGATTCAGAGGAAAATAAAAACCTCCAAAAGAAATGTTACTTTATGCCAATAAATCCAGTATGTAGGAGCAATTATTAAAGAAATGAGTTGAAAACTAATTGCTGATAGAGTAAATAATGTTTAATGTTTAATAAATTTTCTTTGAAATTAACAGAGCTGCCAGTTTTTTAGCTTGCCATCTGGAAAGATTTTTTCCCTCTTAATTAATGAGGTTTCTTTTTCATTTAGTATGGGACTAAGAATTTTAGCATAGGATTATTTAGGACAGAGCAGGCAATCTTGTCACAGAAAAAACTGGGTCTTTACAGATTTCAATGACTGAATCTGGAGTGAAGGCTAGCCAACATAGCAGTATGGGTTCTTTTTCAATGATGAGGCAGCATTAGTTATCAGCCAGGATGAGATCTCAAAACATATTTTGGCATCATTTTATTTTGCCATACCATATTAAGCTAATTCAATATTCTTCATTTGAAGTACAAAAGCTATTGGATAGTATACTATGATAGAAATAGCATAAAATAAGAGTGAAAAGCCTGATACGATACTCTACCTTATAAAAATTGATTTAAAAATCACATACTGGATATTCCTGCTCAGGAGGCAGTAATAAATTTTATTAAATCCAGCAATGAAGTGAATATTATTGTTAAATTCAGTAGCCTAAAAAGAATCATTTCTGTTGTACTCCCACCTTCAATTTAATAAAATACCATTGGCAAAAATATTGAAGTATTCTCAAATCTTCAAACAATGTCCAAAATAAAGCAATTTTACATTTTCTTATTTTTATGTGCCATTTATACTAATATTCAATTCAGAAGTTTCTTAGGTTATATATATATTTTTTTGACAGGCAGAGTGGACAGTGAGAGAGAGAGACAGAGAGAAAGGTCCTCCTTTTGCTGTTGGTTCACCCTCCAATGGCCGCCGTGGCCGGCACGCTGCGGCCGGCGCACCGCGCTGATCCGATGGCAGGAGCCAGGTACTTATCCTGGTCTCCCATGGGGTGCAGGGCCCAAGGACTTGGGCCATCCTCCACTGCACTCCCTGGCCACAGCAGAGAGCTGGCCTGGAAGAGAGGCAACCGGGACAGAATCCGGTGCCCTGACCAGGACTAGAACCCGGTGTGCCGGCGCTGCAAGGCGGAGGATTAGCCTATTGAGCCGCAGTGCCGGCCCTCTTTGGTTATATTACATTTGCTCCATACACATATGATATGTGTATTTAACTGTATGACAATATGATGATCATGTCCCTGGAAAACTCTGTAAATACAACTCAGAGCTGTTAAAGTTTCAAATCAAAGTCCCAAGAAAAATTTAAGTACAGATCTTCTACTAATTATACATGTTTCCTTAAAAGCTAGATTTTAGACAATATTGCTATTACAAGCAATAAAAGTTCCATTTTTTTCCTGGGAGACATTATATTACGACATAAGCCTGATAGTTAATGTAGAGCTGAGTCATTACTAATTCCAGGGTCAACATATGAATTAATACTTGGAACAAATCATGGGCAGATAAATGATGCAGGAGGCAAATAATAAGGGCCTCTATTTGTGGGGTGATGATCAAACAATAAGGGATTAGAATTCAGGGACAGTCATACTTATGGAATGTGTCAAACTTCAGGCTAATTATGAGGTTAACTATATAGGTTATACTTCTGTACTTTAAATAAGAAAAAACAGTGGCTGTAACATTCAAAATCATTGGCAATGTCATAAATATACTCAGCATTTATATATGTAAATAACATCAATGGTCATGTTGGAAGTTCCGATGTTGTTATGAAGTAATATTTACTCAAAGTCAAATCAGTATTTGCAGAGTATCTTACAAAGTTGTTCATTCACTTTTACTTTGTTTAATCTTTACCACAACTCCATTATGGAGGTACAAGTATTACTTTCAGTTTATAGAGAAGGAGTTTAGGTCATCTGTCCAAGGTCACCCAGATGGTACATGGCTAGATTGAGACTGAAACTGAAGCTTGGGGCCAGCTATTTTATCTTCCTAAAGATTTATTTATTTGAGAGGCAGAGCCACAGACAGTGAGAAGAGACAGAAGGAAAGGTCTTCCTTCCATTGGTTCACTCCCCAAATGGCTGTAATGGCCGGAGCTGCGCAGATCCGAAGCCGGGAGCCAGGAGCTTCTTCCAGGTCTCTCACGTGGGTGCAGGGGCCCAAGGACTTGGGCCATCTTCCACTGCTTTCCGAGGCCATGGCAGAGAGCTGGATCAGAAGAGGAGTAGCCGGGACCACAACTGGCGCCCATATGAGATGCTGGTGCTGCAGGCGGAGGATTAACCTACGTGCCATGGTGCTGGCCCCTGGGACCAGCTTTTAACCACCATTGCCTTTAGTCTGAAAATTTGAGTCATTTGTTTAGAAAAATTCTGGATCTTTTAAAGATTAAGTTCTGTTGAATGAAAATTAACTTTTTAATTTTGGTTAGATAATTATTTTTGTCTCACAATGATGCATCTGAAAAAGACAAAGTACTCTATGCAATTGGGAGAAGTTCAGGGATCAAACAAAGAAATACGAACTGAGCTCATGAAGTTTCTTCCTTAAGGGACTGTAACTTAGTGAAGATATTTCACAAATGTTTGTCAGTTGATTGAATTCCCATACCTTCCAGATGTATTCTTTAGTATAGCCAGAGCATCTGGATAGCCATCCATGTTGTAATCTCCAATATGAAGGGTAATTGGCATTGATATTTCCGTCAGTCGCTTTTCACTCACAAATGGCACAAAGCCCCAGAGTGTGCCCTTATTGCTGAAATTCTGTAGGACCGGAACCCACTATGGATAAAGAGAAAAATATTAGACTTCACAGTAATTTTTGAAAACACATTCACAATTTGCTGAAGAAGTAATCGATTAAATTGTCTCAAGATAAGCATCATTTCACTTCCTTATCTGAGCAATATGGTGGAGTATTGCAATTTTAAAGTAGTTTTTCCTTAGAGTTTATCACTAGTCATCTTTGCTTGAACTGGCACATAGCCTTTAGAAAATTTATTTTTTTTTTAAACCACAGGAATTTGGGACTGAACTGATACTAATATGCATCTAGTTGAATTGTTCAACTTAAAATTCCTGTTGAGTGGAATTACAACCTCAAATGAGTATTTTAAAAAATTCGAGCAACTGGTAATATTATCTAATAGTGATGGCCTTTCAGAAGGACCGACTTCAGAAGAAAGTACATGAAGGTCTCCTTTGGTTCACCTTTACATGAAGAATCTTCCAAAAGTCCATGGAATATACATATTATGAAAACTATGCATGGATTTCAAAATTTTTTGTACCTAAATAAACTTGTACTAAGTTGGTATAACATGCCTGAACAGATTCTAGCTTGAGGTACTAACGATAAGATACCAGGTTGAGAAAAGCCCCTATCAGCAACATGGAACTCTGATAAAATTATAGTAAGAATAAACATCAGGGGGCTGATGCTGTGGTGTGGTAAAGCTGTTGCATGTGATGCCAGCATCCCATATGGGCACTGGACTGTGTCCTGGCAGCTCCACTTCTGACTCAGCTGCCTGCTAATGGCTTGGGGAAACAGTGGAAGATGGCTGAAGTACTTGGGTCCCTGCCACCCATGACCCATGTGGGAGACCTGAAGGAAGTTCCTGTCTCCTGGTTTTGGTATAGCTCAGTCCTGGCTGTTGAGGCCATCTAGAGAGTGAACCAGCAGATAGAAGATCTATTTCTCTCAGTCTCTCCCTCTGACTTTCAAATAAATAAATAAATGTTTAAAAGAAAAAGAATAAACATCAAATTTAGAGTGAAGCTGGGGTGGAAGAATGGTGAAATCACTGCTGCTTTACAGAAAGTTAAGGGTGACACTGCTTCAAAGAAAGCAGCAGTTTACAAATGGAAAACTCCGTCTAAGAAGAGAAGAGACAGTGTTGAAGATGAAGCCTGCAGAAGCAGACTATCTATATTTAATTTGAGAGGAAAACATTAATTTTGTTGCTGCCGTAGGTGGACTGACAACAGCAGAAACAATAGCCAACACCGTAGACATGTTAATTAGTTCAGCACTGTGGCATACGGGTAAAGCTTCTGTTGCAGAGTCTGAATCCCATATAGGTGCTGATTCATGTCCTGGCTGCTCCACTTCTGATCCAGCTTCATGCTAATGCACCTGGGGAAGCAGCAGAGGATGGCCCAATTGCTTGAGTCCCTGCACCCACATGGGAGATCCAGAAGAAGCTCCTGGCTGGCCCAGCTCTGGCTGCTGCGGCCATTTGGGGAGTGAACCAGTGGATACACGATCTTGCTCTGTGTTTTCCTCTATCTTTCTTGCTGAAATGCTGCCTTTCAAATAAATAAATAAATCTTTGAAAAACAATTTCTGTTTATTTGAGAGGCAGAAAGAGACAGACAGACAGATTCCATCAGCAAAGTCAGTCCCCAAACGTGCACAACACGTGGGGTAGGCTAGGCCATAGCCTGCAGATGGAAACTCAATCCAGGTGTTCTTTTTGGGTGGCAAGAAGCCCAATTACTTGAGCCATCACTATTACCTCCTAGGGTCTGTGTTTGCAGGCAGCTTGACTCAAGAGCTCCAGGGTGAACAGTGAACTCAGGCTCTCCAATATGAGCCAGGAATGTCTTAATTTGTATCTTTAACTGTTAGGCCAAATGCCTGTCCACTGAAGCATTTTTTTTTTTTAAATTTTACAGAACTGGGATGGAATGAAACGTGGTGTTACCAGTACAATTCTGAAGATAAAGCACAATGAAAGCAATGACCAGCAAGAAGTAAAAGTGGTTTAGGGAAAGCAAAGTCAGACTGGTCAAAGGTACATGTCATGGAAACAGTTTTTGGGACATTACAGCATCTGGCTCGTTGACATTCTAGAGGTTCATAGAGTATTGCGATCTGCATATTAGGAGACTCGTTTTATAAAGTTAGGCAAAGTTTCAGCAGAAAATTGCTTGGGAAAGCCTCACCAGAGTCTCTCTTCACTAAAAAATGCTCCTGTTAATTCCTCTCATGAAACAAGGGCAATTTTGTGATTTTTTCCACGAGAAAACACCTCACAGTCCTGATTTGGCTAATTCTGACTTCTTTTTGTTTCCTAACCTTAAAACATGCTTAAAAGACACTCATTTGTCTTAATGTACTAATCAAAAAAGACTCCAATTGTCATAATTAAATTTCCAGGAACCTTAATTCTTTAGGAATTGCTTATGATTGCTTAAACAAATCACTGAACTTGATGGTCCTTATATTTAAATATAAAGTTTATATTTTTATCTTTTAATCCATTTTCTCACAAACTCTCTGAAGTCCCCTTATACACATTTGTGATTTTTGTCAAGACTCTTGAGCCAAGAAGTTTCTGAGAATTTCCGAACAATATTGACAAGCTCTGTCTGCTATTAACAGGTATTTCTCAGCCAAGCAGGATGAGCTCTGTCACTAAGAGAGCTAGAAGCTGCATTTTTAAATTCCTTTATTTCTATACTGATTATAATAGAGAGAATAGACTGTGTTCAAAATGAGCTTCTGGAAATCCCTTTCTCTTCTGTTAGATAAATCTTTATTTTTTAAATAATGTAACCCAAACTAAAAACCTGAGGAGTAAAAATCATGCCATTAAAATTATAGAAGTGCCAATAATTAGCTGACAGTACAGATGTAGCACATGACCTGGAGATGTCTCAACAGAGGCAGGCACAGCTGACTTGAAATGGCAGGAAGTCAAACCTAACTACATTTTCTTTCTTTCCCCTCAAAGCAGGTGACTCATATATAGCTGCAAGCAGAAGTACAATAAAAATGGCTTCCGGGGCCAACATTGTGGCATAAGAGGTAAAGACGCCATCTTTGACACTGGCAACCCATGTGGGTGCTGGTTTGAGTCTTGGCTGCTTCACTCCAATCCAGCTCTCTGCTAATACTGGGAAAGCAGTGGAAGATGACCCAAGTGTTTGGGTCCCTGACACCCACGTGGGAAACATGGATGAAGCTCCTGGCTCCAGGGGAGTAGATCAGCAGGTGGAAGAGCTCTCTCTCTCTTACTCTCTCTTTCTGTAACTCTGACTTTTAAGTAAACAAATATCTTTAGAAAAAAATGGCTTCTTAAAAGAAGGACTAGTAAACAAAGTATTTCCAACATTTCATAAGTTGTCCAAAGAAAGTGTAACTTCCCACAGTAAATGAAAATGACAAAGACACACTTATTAAAAATGAGTTTTAAAACTCTGGACTGTAACTTTAATAAGTTTTCATTCTTTCTTCCAGAAAAATAAATAAATTACTGGGGCCAGTGTAGTGGCATAGCAGAAAAAACTGCCACCTGCGAGCTGACAACCCATGTTGGAAGATCTCTTTTTCTATCTCTCATTTTCTGTAACTCTGACTTTCAAATAAAGGAATAAATCTTTTTCTAAAAACTACTGTTATATATATTATCAAAATGTTTCAGTACTAATCATTGGAATTTGGAAAAAATTCTTGGTTTTGTTTTGGCAGAAAATGAGAAATTTCACAAAATGTAATTATTGCAAATTTCTGAAGATGATGATAGTTTACCAATGAGGATAAACCACAATGGATAAAGTATTCATATTAGGGTAAATGTACTAAGGCCTAAAAATTATTTTTCTTTTTCTTTGTTTTCTTAAATATTTATTTATTTGAAAACATGAATTTATATATAGAGACGAAAGACACAGAGAAAGATCTTCCATCTGCTGGTTCACTCCCCAAATGGCTGCAAAGGCTGAAGCTAGGAGCCAGGAGCTTCTTCTGGGTCTCCCTTGTGGGTACAGGGGCCAAGGACTTGCCATCTCCTTCTGCTTTGCCAGGCAATCAGTAGGGAGCTGAATTGGAATTAGAGGAGCTGTTACTTGAACCAGCACTCATGTGGGACGCTGGTGCCAGCACTGGAAATTTTTTTTTAATGTGATACTCATGAGAAACTGCAGAACTTTGGCATTTACCTTTCTAGGGAGATGACTGGGTAAGTTGAAAATACCGTTTTTTTTTTTCCCTAAAAAGGTTTATTTATTTATTTGAAAGGCAGAGTGAGAGAGAGAGAGAGAGAGAGAATGAGAGCGATAGAAATATTCCATCCAATAGCTCATTCCCTAAATGGCTGTAACCACCAGGTCTGGGCTGGGCTGAAGGTAGGAGCCAGGAACTCCATCTTAACTTCCTAACAAGGATGCCAGGGGCCCGAATACTGAGATCATCTTCTATTGCCTTTCCAGGGGTATTAACAGGAGCCTGGATCAGAAGCAGATGTACCCTCTGATATGGAATGCCAGCATGGCAAGCAGAGGCTTAACCTACTGTGCCAAAACACTGACCCTAAGTTGAAAATATTCTTACAGTGGTTGTCACTTTTTTTTTTTTTAAGATTTACTTATTTATTTGAAGGGCAGAGTAACAGAAAGAGACAGAGCAAGATCTATTGGCTGGTTCATTCCCCAAATAGCCATAATGGCCAGAGCTGGGCCAATCCAAAGCCAGGAGCCAGGAGCTTCTTTCAGTTCTCCCTTTAGGGTGCAGGGGACCAAGCACTTGGGCCATCCTCTGTTGTTTTCCCAGGCCATTAGTCAGGAGCTGGATTGGAAGAAGAGCAGCCGGGACTAGAACTGAAGCCCATATGGGATGCCACCGCTGCAGGTGGCAGCTTTAACTGCTATGCCATAGCATCAGCCCCAGCAGTCTTCACTTCTTCAACAGGCTATAATTACTATGTTTCCTTGTATCTATGAACAAACAATGAGGTATTACTTTTAAGTGATTTACGCTTTAAAAATGTTCAAGATGATAAACTTAAGATTTTAATAGTTAAATACTTTTAGAATGCTGACTACATAAAGATTTTTTTTCTTTTACTGCTTGAGTATAAAATGTGATGTTCCTTATCCATAAGGGCTATAAAAGTCAACATGTTATTCTATCATTTATTACTCCTCAAAAAGAAAACAAAACTGATTTATTCTACTACTATCATAACATATCATTCCTTTATTAATCCTCTAGTGTGACTATCAAGGTACAGGTAAAAGGTCACCATGAGAGAATGAAGGAGATCTAAATGCCAGAAATAAATGCACAATTAGTGAGGTGGGCATTTGTTCGAGCAGTTAAGATGCCTGCAACTCACACTGGGGTGCCTGGGTTTGATTTTCATCTCTAGCTCCAGACTCTACCTTCTTGCTAATGCAGACCATGGGAGGCAGCAGTAATGGCTCAAGTAATTGGGTTCCTGCAACCAATGTGGCAGATCTGGATTGAGTTCCTAGCTCCTGATTTCACCTCAGTCCAGTCCTGGCCATTGTGGGCATTTGGAGAGTAAACCTGTTGTGTAGGAACTCACTCTCTGTCTCTCAAACCTGAACCCCATCAACCAGAACAAGAATACTTTTGAAAACAGGTCTGATGGCTTTCTATACAATTCTTTATTTGGTACAGTATGCTTTACCATATTCTGGCACATAAAATGCTAACAGTTCAGATCATTTAATTATAGGACTCAGAAAGGATCTTTTTATCAAAACTGATTTTTTTTTTAAAAAAAGATTTATTTATCTATTGAAGTGCAGAGTTGCAGAGAGAGAGAGAGAGACAGACAGACATAGATTTCCATCTACTGATTCACTCCACAAATGGCCACAACGGCTGGGGTTGGCCTAGGTTGAAGTCAGGAATCCAGAAATTCATTTGGGTCTCCCAAGAGGGTTGCCGGGGTCCAAGCACTTGGGCTGTCTTTTGCTGCTTTCCCAGAAACATTACCAGGGAGACATATCAGAAGTGGGGAGGTGATCAGAAGGGTGATCCAGCACCCATATGGGTTGGGACAGCGGCTTAGCCCATTGTGCCACAACACCAACCCTATCAGAACTGATTATAATAGTGAAATTTTCCCTCAATAAATGATAATAAATAGATTTAAGTGCGCTTCATTAAATTAAAATGAGGGGGCCCAGTGCTGTGGTACAGTAGGTTAATCCTCCGCCTGTGGCGCCGGCATTCCATATGGGAGCTGGTTCTAGTCCTGGATGCTCCTCTTCCGATCCAGCTCTCTGCTTTGGCCTCGGAAAGCAGTGGAAGATGGCCCAAAAGCTTGGGTCCCTGCACCCATGTGGGAGACCAGGAAGAAGCATCTGGCTCCTGGCTTTGGATCTGCGCAGCTCCAGCCATTGCAGCCATTGGGGGAGTGAACCAATGGAAAGAAGACCTTTCTCTTTGTCTCTCCCTCTCATTGTCTGTAAATCTACCTCTCAAATAAATAAATGAATAAAATCTTTTAAAAACATACATGAAAGTGAGGAAGTCAGTACCTTAATTCTGAGTTTCTATCTACTGTGATGCTTCAGGTATCTTTCTAACGCTGGAAGGTTTTTCAAGTGTGTGACTTCACATTGAAAACCCAGCTGGTATACCTGCTTTGTTCCAGATCGTGCTAAGTAAATGGCGCTTTTCTGGCAATTTTCATCTTCACAGCCTGGAAGTAAGTGATCCATGTGTCCATCTCCATCTGCCAAAGGAAACTTCAAGAGTCCATTAAGAGCCACAAAATCAAGTATTATTGTATGACCGATTAAATGCCCTCTATGTTCAAAGTCTGCATCAGTACGGATGAAACTGAAGAATTTGACACATGGCTTTATAATGAATGTGATTCAGTTAAAATAACTCTGGTTCTTGCTACTTCTTATCTGGACTGAGTCTTGATTAAAACTGCATGCTTTTCTGTGGTTAAATATTTATCAGAGTTGGAAACAGATATCGTTCCAGGCTTTAATGTTAGAATCATCAATTTTTAAAAATGTGACTTTTGATTTATTTACATAATTATTATTGCTACCACAGGAGAAAAAATAAAATAACCCATTAGTATATGGCCTATTTTAAATGTAAGACTCTTATTTTTATGTACACTCTTAAGTGTCCTTTATTCAGCATGAACTTCAAGAGTTAGAAACCTCTCAGTAGTCTGGCTTCTAACAAATCACCAGTAAATTTTTAAGAATAAAAAAATAAAAAAACAAATGATGGGAATACAGATGTCTTTTTCAACTGACTGCTTTTACAAAGTTGCACACTGTTTTGGAAACATCTCCAGGGGTGCAGTTACTGTGGAACCTGGAGTCAGCTGCTCTAGTGCTCCCTTCTATCTACTGTCTGTGCTACCTGAAGAGGTATACACATATACCAAAGCTAAACCTATTTATGGACACATGCACAATGGAGTAGCCATATAGCTTTTTAATTTGGGGGATGATTTTATGTTTCTTTAATGACTGATTTACTTGGTATGGCTTACTATATCATTTAATACAGATGTAGATGATTTGGAAAGAAATAAAAGTATTATAATACAGGTTTATATATATTTTTTTATTTTTGACAGGCAGAGTGGACAGTGAGAGAGAGAGAGACAGAGAGAAAGGTCTTCCTTTGCCGTTGGTTCACCCTCCAATGGCTGCCACGGCCAGCGTGCTGTGGCCGGCGCACCGTGCTGATCCGAAGCCAGGAAAGACAGCACACCGTGCTGATCCGAAGCCAGGAGCCAGGTGCTTCCCCTGGCCTCCCATGCGGGTGCAGGGCCCAAGCACTTGGGCCATCCTCCACTGCTCTCCCGGGCCACAGCAGAGAGCTGGTCTGGAAGAGGCGCAACCGGGACAGAATCCGGCGCCCCAACCGGGACTAGAACCCGGTGTGCCGGCGCCGCAGGCGGAGGATTAGCCTATTGAGCCGCAGTGCCGGCCACAGGTTTATATATTAAAAGAGAGGTATAATAAGCCTATCAAGTCTCCAATAATGTATTCAAAAAGAAAAAAATTAGGCTGAGAGGGATGAAAATGAAGCCACTGGAAGCTGGCCTCAGTAAGGAAAAGTAAAAAGGCATAGCAAGGGAAAAATTTGTATTATTTAGCTTCACTATTTAATTACGTATAATTCTCACAAATAATATTATTTGTGATAAGAAACCCTTAGAGGAGAACATTAAATAAAATCATTGAACTAATAATGAAAAATATAGAGAACTGTGATCAGATTATCTAATTTACACTGAGAATCAAAGAGGTTGAGAGGGACAAAATTCTGGTTGGAAACTAAAAGGTTTTCCAAGAAGATAAATATGTATCATAGTTAAAAAAAAAGATAAATAAAAGACAGCTGGTCAAATCAGAAAGAATTAAATACAAAAAAGTGATTTATAAACTGGTTCTAATAGTATCTTGGTT